CACGTGATGCAGAGGGCTTCAGAGAAGATTAAGTAGGCAGAGACACTCGTCTCGGGCTCCGTTTGTTTGTCTTTTAGTTTGTAGCAACATTATTCTGCATGTAGCCTCTGTGCTGTTGAATTGGAAACCTCCAACTTCGGATCGTTTGGAATTTTTTTTGTTTTACGTTCTGCTGTGCTGAAGAATGTCCTTGCTCTCGCCAGGAGATGAAGATGAACCGGAGCGTTTCGACGGTCTCTCTCTCTTGTACTGGTATGCTGAGCAGTTGGGTTTTGATGAATTTTCCCCAGACTGTAACTGGAAAAAGTAGAGTAAGGATAGTTTTAAAGCTGTAGCCATGTGGAGACTTTCTCCTTTTTGTAAGCTGGAGTTTATCATGTAGATGATTGTGGAAATGTCAAATAATACATCTTTTGTGATGGGAGGGTATTCTGCTGATATATATATAATTATTATGTTTGTGGAAAAGTGACTGGTAATTTCAGAGGATTGCAGATCAGAAGAGTATCCAGAATGTCACGTTCTTAAGTGTCTAGAAAGCATAAAATAGCTGCTGAAACTACATATATGTGCTGTAAAAAAAAAAAAAAAAAAAGTTCAAGATTTAATTTTAACTGCCTTTGCTAGGTGCTCTACACAAAAATGAGTACTTGGTCTATTGCTATTTCAGGACTTCAGCTGAAGTGCTTTTAGTATTTTTGTTTGCATAATGTCAGTGTAACAAAGTCATAGCATGTTTTGTGTAACCTTGTTCTTTTTTAATCACTTTTTTAACTTTTTTTTCTTTTTCTATGTACTAAAAGTTTGTTTACAAGTGTGACATCCGTAGGAATGACCAGTGATACCTGTTGATTTTTTTTGATAAAAAGATTGACTTTTTTAATGTCTTTTTCTACAAAGAGCACTGGAATTGTTTTTGTTACCACTGCCGATTGTTTCATTTTCCTGTTTCCTTCGTTATATTGCTGAGCACATTTCTAATGTTTTGGGGAAATAGCTAACAATTCAGATTACCATTATTCAGTAATGTTTGTTGAATGGGAGCTAAATCCACATCATTGTGTAGTCAAATTGATAAAACACTTTATTTTAATAGTGACTGGTAGCATGTCTTGAGGATCCATCTTTTACGTGATATGGAAGAATACTGAAAAAGCAGCAAGATGTGATATCCTAAACTAATTTGGGCATTTGGAAATTCTTTTGTTCTTGCTTTTATTTGCTAATTGTAAAAACTTATGGTTAAACTATTGATAACAATATTAAGTATTTCTTTTTAATTATGATATTCATAAACTAAAATTCCTCAGATAACTGCTATTCAGGCCTACAACTGTTCAGACTTCACTAATATCAGCATCAAAAGATCAGGAGAAAGTAAAAAGTTCTTGAACTAGCACAGTCCTGATGCACTAGAAATAATTACTTAAGGAAAATCCAGTTAAGTTGAGATCTCCAATATTATTGAAAGGTTCACATATTAATAAGTAAATAACAATTGTTTGCAGTGCTGATGTTGCAATGTCTGACACCTGCAAATGGCCACAAGCGTGGCTTTTTTTTTAAATCTTCTCAGATTTCAAAGACGGATACAAATTAGCAACAGACCTGTAAAGATGATGATTAATATATTGGGTTTTGGCTTCAAAAGAGAATAACGGAATAATTTGGATGACACTAGTAGGTAATAATACAAAATAGTATGCTGTTCCAGTATGCATTTAATTTACCGAAAATTTCACATTAGAAAGCATAATCAATTTTTAAAATATTTTTTTTTCTCGAGTGTTTTCTAGAATGTGGTTAAATAAAAGTAGTTTACTACTACTTTTAGCATTAAGTAAATCTTATATTATGTCATGCAGTAGCAAGGTATCTCACAATCCTGGCAGTGCCAAATTATACTAATACCATTTTATCATTTCTTTTTGGACTACAGAACAAACAGTGACCAAAATACTGCTGTGAAAATTCTACATTTGAAGCATAGGTTTCTATTTTTGTTTTTAAAGATGAATTTTTAGGTCCATTCTTCTGGCCTTTTCCTAAAATAAAAGGCTGATTTTGCACATCCCTGGGAATTTGAAATCGTGGAATGAATAATTTGTTTTCAGAGCAAGTGCAAGGATCTAATCTAATTGTTTTACAAAACTGAGAGAATTTGGAATGTTTTGTAGGAATTGCATCCCTTGCTCTGTGCTGGAATTTAGGAACATTTGGACCTTTGGGATTTCTTTCTTTCCTCTATCCTTATCAGTACATTTATTCCAGCTTTTGCAGAAATAACCAGCTGCAGGCTTGGAGTTCAAGCTGTGTGCTGGATTTGGTTGTGTGAAAGGATTTAGGTCACTGTGTCCTCCAGTTTGATCTTCTTTTTTTTTTTTCTCCCCCATTAATGAATTGTAGTTGTTCCATTTCACTTTAGCATCATACATGGGAAGATTCAAGCCAGTACCTAACAGAGAACAATATGTAGGTCAAAGCAGAAAAAAATTAGCAGAGCATCTGCTTTTTCGTACCATGGGGCTGGCGCAAACCTGACCCATGGAAGGGCAGGGGATACATGCTATAACTTGATTTTTTTTTTTTTTGTAATACCTCATCTGAATGAAAATACAAAATGATGAAGGTCTAATCTGGATTTATAGGGATTCTTAGCACTTTGTAATCTAAGCACAGTATGCTGGAATGGAACTGTAAATTTATGATTCAGAATTATACTGAAATGCTGTAG